TCATTTAAGAAACTCTTTCCTTCTCTGTCCACATTGTTTTCCTTCAACCAACAACTGAGGACCTGGAAAATAATTAAGCAGACTAATAACAAACTGCAACCGTACATTAACCCTTCTGTTTTTCCCCTCGTTACTCTGGTTTTTCTTCATAAGAAAACTAATAAGTGAGGCATTGCTTAATAATGTAATTGTGACATAGTAATTTTAAAAAATCATTTACAGTTATTTACCACTATCTTGGCAGGTGGTTTTTGGACTTTTTTTTTTTTTTTTTTACACTACTGTTTTTCTGGGAATATACTCTCAACATAGCTTAGAAATTGCTATGAGCTGGAGTAACAGTATCCCAGGAATGTCTGATCACAGTTGTCCGTTCAGAGGGCAGGGTCACAAACTCCTGCCTCACCCACTGACTCACTCACTGGTGACAATGCTGACCCGGTCACTCTGTTTACCTGCTGACATGACTTATCAGTTTTGTCATACAGTGTCAGTAATTTCAAGAGCATTTTCTATTCCATTTCTGGGATGAACAATAAAACAAAGTCCTGACGATAAAGGAGCAGAGGGAGCAAACAGCACAGACAGGCAGACAGACACCTTCTGGTGAGTTAACCAGCTCCTCCCGCATTGGCAGGTCGGCCTGAGAGGTTACTTAGAAGCAACACATAAACACAGATCACCCTTCCCTTTCCACGCCTCAACCACCTCATATGTGTGCAAACACGGAAATAACCGCGAGGGAAAAAAAAAAAAAAAAAAAAAAAAAAAAAAAACAGCACTCTAGAGAGCATACAATTCACCCTCAAAACGCCTGAGTCACCAGAAGAAAACCACTTTATTTCATCCATCACAAGACTCAGAGTTATAAGCACTAGAGTTATAAGCACATATGTGGTTTTGGCAAATACTGAGCATGCAAATCACTTGGTGAGTTATGAATTATGAATCTCAAGGAAGAACTTTTAGGATATTTCTTGCAAGGATTTAAAAAATTGTTTTATGAGATCTAAAAATAGATGAAATTTAAGCACACTTACTGGAATACAGGCAGAATCTCAAGTTAAGGGAAACTCAAGTACCATGTATGGAAACACTCTCTTTTACAAACAGGAATGCTTTGCATAGTAAGTGTTCTTGAATTTCATGTGTGGACTTTCTGAAGGGACGCTGACTGCAGGTCACCGGCTCTGCAGCAAGAGTCAAATTACAGGATAAACTTGCAGATGCTCCTGCGACCTGTGTTCCTAGCCTCTGACCCTCTGCTCTGTCCCTCCATCCTTCCATTCCTGAGTATCCCTCTCGAGCCTTTCCTTCTGTGAGGGAACAAACCTGTGACTGCTTGCTTAGCACATCAGAGGTTTCCTCTTTTGGTCAGATTAATACTAGGACACAAAGTAACTTGGGATACTCTTATCACGACCCCAAAAATCTCCTCCTCAGCTTCTCCAACTTTGTGACCCTCCTAAAACTCCCATGTTCCAACGCTAACCTCCCAAGCGATGGTATCAGAGGGCAGGGCCCTGTGGGAGGTGGCAAGAAGATGACGCTGCACCTCCTGAATGCCATCAGTGCCCTCAGTCAACAGGCCTTGCCCTTCCACTGTGGGAAGCTGCAGTGAGAAAACTGCTCGGAGAGGGTGTGAACTTTTAAAAGAAGTGGGCCTTACCAAACACCCAACTGTAGCCACCTTCATCCTTGACTTCCCTGGCCCCGGCACTGTGAGAAACAACTTCCTGCTCTCTGCAAGCTATGCATTTGCTGGTAGTTGTTATGATATCCCAAATGAACTATCTCAAGATATCTACTTTTCCTTCTTTCCCTCTCACTCACAAACATATCATCTGTTCTCTACGGAAGGGCTGAGTGGACCTGTGCTAGGAACATTGGTTCCATTCACAGACCCTTCTAGCACTGGGTATATCCTGACTTCTCAACTCAGGTGAGACACACAGAAAGCCATCTAGAAAGTTCAGCACAGCTCAGACATGGAAAGTTTTAGGAACTTGAATTTCACACTTTACTGTTGGCTAATTTGAAAAAAAAAAAAAAATTAACTGCCAAACTTCATTTTTGCCCTTGACCAGAAAGCTCTTCAGCAAAAGTACAAAATTAATTCGAGGATGCTTTTATACTTCCTGTACACAAGATTTTCAAACTAAATAAAAAGACATACTTGGAGGAACCTATTGATACACTGGAAGAATTTGGTAGCTTGTAGATTATCTTATAGTCACCCACTCGGGCAGATTTCTAGTGTTAGCTGCCACAAATGTGTATCTTTCACATTTCACATTTCACACACGGTTGGTTTCATTTTTTTAATTTTTGTTTATTTTGAGACAAGATTCCACGTTAACTCAAACTGGCCTCAAACTTGCCATGAGCACCCAAGGGTGACCCTGCTTTTCCACCCCCTGACTTTTCAGCCCTCCTGGATGATGCAGTGCAGGGGACAGATCACAAAAGCCCATGTATAAAAGAAGAGCATTCTATGCATGGAGCTAATATCCTTATCCCACAAATGTTAAAAGTCACCGTAAGGATGTCACTAAGGATGTCACGTCTTTCTAACTAACTGAAGACACTGGTACCTTTTTATTGCTTGCTTGCTTATCATCTCTAGAGTATTAATTTATTTGTTTAGTTTTATTTTAAACAGGAATTCTGACCATTGGACATCTGAATGCTTACTACAGACAGCCCTGGACAGAGAGGAGGCAGGTAGGAACAAGCACTTGGAGCAAAGTCCTGAAATCCATCCTGATTTTTGGTTCATGTAAAATTTTCAAAACCTCTATCTTCTTTAAAGATGTGACTTAGAAAAAGAGAAACTTTGTTTAGATATGTGCCTTGTATCCCTGATCTCTCCAGTACTTTAAACATGAATGGGTGTTGGACTTTGTCAAATGCTTTCTCAGCATCTAGGGAAATTATCATGTGGTTTTTTTCTTTCAGTTTGTTAATATGGTGGATCACATTGATGGATTTCCGTATATTGAACCACCCCTGCATACCTGGGATGAAGCCTACTTGGTCATAGTGGATAATATCTTTGATGTGTTCTTGGATTCGGTTTGCAAGTATTTTGTTAAGTATTTTTGCATCAATGTTCATAAGGGAGATTGGCCTGAAATTCTCTTTCTTTGTTGAGTCTTTGTGAGGTTTAGGTACCAAGGTGATTGTGGCTTCATAGAATGAGTTTGGTAATGTTCCTTCTGTTTCTATTTTGTGGAATAGTTTGAAGAGAATTGGAGTTAGCTCTTCTTTGAAGGTCTGGTAAAATTCTGTGCTGAAGCCATCTGGTCCTGGGCTTTTTTTGGATGGGAGACTTTTGATGACTGCTTCTATTTCTTTGGGGGATATAGGACTATTTAATTGATTTACCTGGTCCTGATTCAGCTTTGGTAAGTCAAATCGATCAAGAAAATTGTCCATTTCATTTAGGTTTTCAAATTTTGTTGAGTATAGACTTGGACCTGGAAAGGATCATCCTGAGTGAGTTGTCCCAGAAGCAAAAAGACACGCATGGTATATACTCACTCATATAAACATACAATATAGAATAAACCCACTAAAATCTGTACATCTAAACAAACTAAGCAAAAGAGAGGACCCTAACTAAAATGTTCAATCCCCATCCTGAAAGGCAAAGAGAATGGACATCAGAAGAAAAAGAAAATAGGAAACAACCTCGGAACCTGCTACAGAGGGCCCCTGAAAGCCAGAAGAAAACAGGAAACAACCTTGAAACCTGCCACAGAGGGCCTCTGAAAGCTTCTGCAGTATAGACTGTCAAAGCAGATGCTGAGCCTGATGGCCAACTGATGGGCAGAGTGAATGGAATTTTATGTAAGAAGTGGGAAATAGTAAGAGCTGGAGGGGACGGGAACTCCACAAGCAGAGCAACAGAACAAGATAATTTGAACACAGGGAACTTCCCAGAGACTCATACTCCAACCAAGGACTATTCGTGGAGATGACCTGGAACCCCTGCACAGGTGTAGCCCATGGCAGTTCAGTGTCCAAGTGGGTTACATAGTAATGGGAAGAGGGACTGCCTCTGACATAATCTGATTGGTCTGCTCGTTGATCACTTCCCCCTGAGGGGGGAGCAGCCTTACCAGGCCACAGTAGAGGACAATGCAGCCACTTTTGATGAGAACTGATAGACTAAGATCAGAAAGAAGAGGAGAACCTCCCCTATCAGTGGACTTGGGGAGTGGCATGCATGCAGAAAGGGGAGGGAGGGTGGGATCGGGAGGGGAGGAGGGAGGGGCTTATGGGGGGATACAAAATGAATAAAGTGTAATTAATAAAAAATTAAAAAAAAAAAAAGAAAAAGAGAAACTTGCTTTGCTTCAATGAAATGCCATATTCTTTTAACCAACAATTCTTCTTCTCTATGTTTTTTCTGTTCGAGGTATATCAAATTGTACTGTTCTCTTCTGATCGTCAAAGCTGAGCCAGAGTCCTGCCAGATACAGCCATCTGGACCTGTTGTCATCAGATGTCGAGATTACAAGTCAATGGTTTCTGCCTACATTCTCATTTTAAAACAAAAACACATCAAATAGACAGTTACCACACTCTCATGGGTAAGATAACCAGCATTTGTCATCTAAACTTTAATAGCAGTTGGTGTAAAAATTTATGGCTGCGTTAGTATTTTCAAACGTAAGTGATATATAAATTGATACATTCAACTGTAACAAAAATAAAAACTTAACAGTAAATGCTGAGGTGGATAACCATGTGGAAGAAACATCAAAACCAATGCAGCTGTCATTTTCTTACAATCGTAGGTACGTGTTCTCAGGGCTCACCATTTGGTAATGGACAGCCGCTGGGGGAGCGCATCCCTGGGAAGACTATGGCTCATGTTCTCAGCATTCCTAATGGCCTGTAGTCCCTTGTCTGTGCTTGAGGCCCTGTGAGATTTCCCTTTCCATGTTGGCATGTCTACTGTGTGATCCTTGTTTATATCTTGTTTAGGCAGCCATGTTGTTGAAACTTCGTGGGTGTAGCTTTCCTGACATTTCTGGGAGATGCAATCTCACAGCAGACTTCCTGTTCCTCTGGTAAGTTATATTTATCTTTTTAAGAATAGTTAAGGATATATATATATATATATATATCAAAAATTAAATAAAAAGAAGCCATGAGTTTGAGAGAGAAAGCAAGAAGGATTAACTGGAAGAGGATGGAGGGGAAAATGGAAAAGGAGGAAATGATGTAACATGTTAATTTCAAGTTTTTTAAAGTGCAGAAAGCAGAGCTGGGGTGGGGGTTGCTGGCAGCAGATTCTTCTGATTCTGAGCAATCTCAGTAATTATGGCCTAACTGAGTGAACATTAGGAAATTTCCTTTACCATTTCAGAACAAACAGCATTTAGACACAGACCTCACAGAGAAAACTCATAGATCACAAACCTTTTACTCCTAAGAGACAACACAGAAAAAAAAAAAAAAAAATCTGGGTACCATTGGATCCAGTGGATGACACCAAAGGCACAATCTATGTAAGAGACAATTGATACACTAGACTTCATTAAAATTCAAAATGTTTGTTCTCCAAAAGATGCTGACAAAAGAATGAAAGGACAAGCCACAGATGAGAAATATATATATATAAGTATAATATATATAAATATTACAAATATATATATATTTGAGAGGCCTACTTCATGAATTATTACCCAAAATTAATAAAGAATTCTCAAAACTCATCAAATGTAAAGAAAACAGGACACTGACTTAAAATGGAAACAAAGACCTTAAGTTACTCCACCAAATAAGATGCACAAATGAGAAAATAAGTTACGAGAAAAAAAACTTCACATGATGTTATGAGTGAAATGAAAACTGGAGAAGAGCAATTACTACCACAAACCTCTTAACCTCTACGAAAGTCCGAAACCAGTAACTCCAACACTTGACAACACCAAATGCTGGCAAGGACACGGAGCAACAGGAATGCCCAGTCATTGCTGGTGGGAGCAGGAGGAAGCAGTGTTAACACTCTGGAAGACAGTGTGCCATGTGCCGATGAGCCAGCAGTGAAGCATCACTCAGGGTTTACGAAAGAAGTTGAAAATGTATGGCCATACAAGCACTTGCACGTGAGTGTTTAGAGCAGTCTTTTTGTTCTTCTTGTTATTGTTTTCTTTTCTTTTCTTTTTCTTTTTCTCTTTTTTTTTTAAGACAAGGTTTCTCTGTGTAGCCCTTGCTGTCCTGAAACTCACTCTATCATCCAGGCTGGCCTTGAAGAAAAGTCTTTTCATAATTGCAACAACTTAAAATCATTTTATAATGTCTTCTCACATTATGTAAACTGGATAAATAAACTGGCTCTCCCATAAAAATCACCCATAAACTATCATTTGGTGCAAAAGCAAAATATGCTATCAAGCAATGTAAAGATATGGAAGCAATTTAAATTCATATAATCAACTAAAAGAAGCCAATCTGAAAAGGGTCTGTATTGTATTATGTTTCTACATAATAACAATATGCATTATTATGTTCTATAATGCATTATAGAAATATATTATTCATATTATGCTATAGAAATATAATGCATAATATAGCATTCAGGAAAAGGTGAAACTGTCAAAAAAATATCTATCATTGCAAGGAATGGGGAGAGAAGGCTGATGTGGAAGAGAACAGGATTTTTAGGGCAGTGAAAGTACTCTATGTGCTACTGGAATGCTATTCTCACGTGCATGTGTTAGGTGCGTTCTCATTTTTGCCACCATAAAAATGGTGTGATGGCTATTTGTTTAGCCCCCTTCTACCAAAACACTAATGTATATCAGGAAAGGAATCTGGCAGCATCAATCAGTTCATGTCCTGAGCAGTGTCCTGATACCCACCTCTTGGTTCCCTCACACTCTATCAGCCTTGACACTGCCTGCCTTTGCATGTCAGTTGTCTATTGTGTAGTCTTCCACAGTGCCTCAAGCTTTTAGGAGACTAAAATGAGAACAGTTTACACCAATTTTATGTTTCAGGTGTTTGTTTTTAACATTTTCCATGATGAGAAGGCTTTAAAATGTTTCTCTTCCTCTACCTATTGTCACAACCCCAAAAGAAGGGTTACTAGGAAATATTATCTAAGTGATAAATGTATTTATCTTGTTAATAAAATAGCACATAGTTATTTGATAGGTGTTGCAAAATTGTTTCTTTGAAACTTGTATCGGTTTATATTAAAGTGTACATTTTCAATTTACAGAGGTAGATGCTACACAACAGAGACATCTTCTTGCTCTTAGGTGGGTCCAGGGCCTGTACTTTCAAAGCTTAAGCACATGCTTTACCACTGAGCTGTGCCTCCAAGACACATCATTCTAGAAAATTGTTTTTGGGTTTTGGTTGGTTGGTTGGTTTGGTTTGGTTTGGTTTTGGTTTTTCGAGACAGGGTTTCTCTGTGTAGGCTTGGCTGTCCTGGACTCACTTTTTAGAGCAAGCTGACCTCTAACTCACAGAGATCCACCTGCCTCTGCCTCTGACTGTTGGCATTACAGGTGTACACCACTGCACCTAGCTGGTCTAAGAAGATTTTATATCATTTGCTACTTTCAACAACAACAAAAAGGGTCACATGGCACTCTAATTAATTCTTACTAATGAAGAATTAGTGATGAAGGAGGAGTTATAAATAAACAATAAAATCTCCATCTTCATTAGTGGAGATTTTATTGTTTATTTATAACGTTTTCCCATTTGTCACAAATTTGGTCAGATCCTTGCCTCATTTGTTTATTGGAAATTTTAAACTGTGTTGTTTACCCATAGTTGTAGCCGCAGATAATCTTTGACACACTTTTTGTTCTACCAGAAAAGATCTCTTTCACTGAAATGCCTCTTTTTAGTTGTTGTTGTTTTTTTTTTTTAATCATTTTGCTATACACTGCATCCTTAGTAAGCTTTTTAAGTGGTTCACAGCCAACTATTTACCCAAATAAATAGTTTGGGTAAATAGACTGGTTCACCTTATCCCCATTTTCTCTGTTCTTTTAACATAAATTTATTGCTGAACTTTTATTTTATTCATTTACCACGCATATGTTTTTAAAGCAAGCCACACTTTTAAAGTATTGTGTTTTGTCAGTTTTGTCATATGTTTTAACATTAGGACAGGCAATTTCAGTAAATTTTATTAATAGAATGTTTCCTATTATCACCTGTTTATTATTCTATGTGAGTGCTGAAGTAATTACAAGTATTGGAAAAGCCTGGTTAGATTTTCTAAGCGTGTTTTAACTTGAATGGGAAATTATTTCCTTACAGGTATATACTTTGGGCTTGCTGCCCTGCTAATGAACTATATAGTAGAGTAATTGCAATCCTTCGGGCTTTAATTTGATCAATGGATTAATCCCTCAATGAATTCGTAACATGATGGCATTATCAGGAAGTGATAAAGAGTAAGACGTGTGGTGTAAATGCAAGAAGATATGCTCTATGTAGCTTGTCCCCTGCTCCGTTTACTCTGTAGCCCTCTGGCCACCACCATGAGCAGCTTTTTCCTTTTACTGCTATGACACTGTATCTTATCACACCCAGCAAGTCAACCATGGATAGAAACCCCTGAAGCAGTGAGCTAAAAGATGTTATTGTGTCTCTTCAGTTGCTTTTCTTGGGGGACTTGTCACAACAATGAAAGGCTGAAACTACAACTAAATTGAAGTATGCTGGCCTCTACAGAAAGTTGTTCATCACAGCAGGTCGTGTCGACCTGTGGAGTCAGTCATTTTGGAGCCATTTCCTCCTTCAGAAGTTCAAGACCAGAAACAGCTGCAAGAAAACCACCTTTCCATACCACCAAAGCCTGTGGGTCTTCCTGTGGCCCACGGCATAGATATCTCAGGGATTCCCCAGTCCCTGATCTCTAAATAAAAGTCCTCAACTCTAAGAAAATGATGAAGTTCTCTACATATCAATGACACATGGCATAGTTCTCTATGTTGTCCACTGTATTAAAAATCACTTGAAAGAATAGCATTTGTATAACTGGGTTTTTTTTTTTTATTCTGTTGAATGAATCTTTCAAGACAGGACCTTTTTAGGCAGCAAGAGTCACAGAGGAAATATGACTACAAATAGTTACCCTCACAGCAACAGGTGAACATTTTGCTCCAGTTTTCCAAGCAGCAAACAAAGATGTGGTGAGGAGTTGACCTGGTAACACTGTGCAAAGCGCCTCGGTGAAGGGGAGCCCTATGCCCACCATGTCACGAACCCCAGAGTCTACGTGCATGGACAATGGGGACAGCATTCCAAAGAAAGAAAATATTGACTGACTAATCAGGGACACACCCAGCGAGACAGTCTTCAAACAAACATCCTTCCTTCACAGAGGAATAAAGAATGTTTTCGTGGGAAGATTTCCAAGGCTGCTATCACAAGACGAGTGCCTGGGAGATTGTTAACTGCTATCAGTAGCAGGACGGTGTTCAGAGCACAGCAATAATTATGACAGGGCCAGAACAAAGCGAGGCCATGGATACTTGGTGATGACAACTATTTTCCCTTTTTTTTAAATATGGAGTATAGCAGTCCTTAGGAATACTGACCAGCACTAAAGAAATGAGACAAATATCTGTTTGTTAAAACTCCAGGAGCTGGAATAGATCACTTAAAAATTCTAGTCAGTCTTTTGATTACTTCAGGAAAAAAAGTTAAAAAATAAAATAAAATAAAAGGAGGGGGAGTGTTTATGTTCACATCTCACTATCAGTAAAGCCAAGAGAATGTGTGTCTTACCTAAACAGTGTAAGGACAGGCAAGGAAGTGGCTCAGTTAATAAATTGCCTACCTGCATGCAAGCATGAGGATGTGAGATCACATCCTCAGCAGCCATGTAAAAAGCCAGGCATGGGAGCCTCAAAGTAGAGACAAGGGATCCATGGATCTCATTGTCCAGCCAGCCTCATGAATGTCGATCAATTCTCCTTTCAGTGACACACACCCCACCCCACCCCCATTTCAAACAAATAAACTGGAGCATGACCAAGAGAGTATCCAGTGTTGGTGGCTTCTACATGCACAAATATGTACACACACACACACACACACACACACACACAGCAGTAATCTTCAGCTTTCAACTCACTAGATACCGAGGTTAAACATGCTAGAACAAAAATTATTACCACAAACACGCTCATTCCAATAGTCCATCAGGCTGCCAATAAATGAACAGGGCAGGGCTTGTTACTCAGACAGGTATCCTGTCTGAAGCTTCAGTGCAGAGGTTGTTTCTAATTTGGAGTCTGATATGCCAGCCAGTTGAGAAAAGGCTGTGAACAACTTCTTCAATCCTGACTTGGCTATTTCAGAATGCCAGTTTAAAAAAAAAAAGAAAATTGGCATTGGAAGATAAAAGCTGATGAAATTACTTTATAAAATAATAAGAAACTCACTAATGGAAAAAAAAAATGAAGATGCTAAAAACAGCAATTAAATAGAAGATAGATAGCTATTAATATAGATATATGCTTTATTAACAGTATATATCTATAATATATATGCATGTAGTTAAATGTCTGTTGTCACTAGTGGAGTAAAAATTACATTTATTTTAATTTGTATTAGTTCAGATCAATTCAGGAGTTGTTTCTATTCCAATGTGTTTTAGTCTGGGCCAAAACAGTGTTTTTAAATCAACTCTGTATATTCTTACTTGTAATGATGTGCTCCTCTCTTAGCCTGGGTATAGTATTTGGAATCATTTCTAATCACTCAGAGCCAGAGCTGGTGCATAAGCTTCGCTTACATCTAGAAGAGGCATCACAATGAGCAAAGACGTGTAACAAGTCACAGTTCAGAGAAGAAAGAGGCTGCAGCAGAGTCTCGGCCCTACATGGAGCATCTTATATGTTACATGTTTCTATGACATACCTCCTCCTCCCAGGGCTCAGAGAGTGTCAAAAGAAGAAGGGGCAAAAGGATTGGACGAGCCAGAAGTGGAAATACTAGAGTGGCTGCACATATAAACTCACAACAGCTGTGACAACCAAGCTCAAGCCAGCAGAAATCTCAGCAGGGAGCGGGGAGATGGCCGTGGAGCCCCACACCTGGCTGAGGAACTCTGGGAACTGGTGTGTTAATTGGGAAGGCAGAACCAGTCTTCCTCAGAGATGCGACACCTGAGAGGTTACCCATGCTCCAGCAATCCCGTACACATGCACATGCAGGCAGCATTAAATGGACAACTGGATTCAAAAGCCAAAAGTAACAAACAGACAGACAGGAAACCATGAAATTGGGAGAGTATAGCGAGAGGAGAAGAGGAGATGGAGGTGAAGGAATGGGAGGCAGAGACTTGGTCAAAACACATATGCGTGTATGAAGCCCCCAGACAATTAAAACAAACATCAAGTGGTGCCACCATCAAACATGTTTAGTCACATATTTAGGGAGGCCCTATTCCCCAAGGCAGATCCCTAAATCATTCTGAGCAATAGCGCGGAATTAGAAATGTGTAACCCGCGAAGAGACTTCTTTAAATAGAGCATCTATTTCGGCTACGTGTGCTCTGTAAATCCAAATAAAACTCTACATTCCTGCACAATGCCATCTAATTCCTCAGCAAGACTGTGGAGCTTGGCATCCACCAACTGCTACTTTCCTGCAAACCCTTAAGTAGACAAACTCAGAGCAAAGGCAGTTTTCCTGTCACATGCTTCTCAATACAGGTGTTTTCTCTCCTACATCTCTTTAACACACGAGAAAACACAAATCAGACAGTTCTCAAATCAAGATAATTTCCCCTGTAAGCACCACTGAGCAGACCATGTAGCCCCATTAAGTGAGTTTAAATATTACTCAACAAGGATTGTGAGCACACGGCTGAGTGAGGAAGAGAAACATCCTTTCGGCTTCATCCATGGCCCTAAGGGCGCTTCTCCTAGTGTATATTAGATGAAACTACATAAAGTTGACACTTACATTAAAATGCATCAGGTTTCATGCCAGTAACATCACATGGAATAAATTAACGAATTAATGATATCCTCAAACAAAGGAGTTTGGACCGCTGCCAACCCAGCTGGTTCCACCGCCATCTTCCTAACAGCTTGTACCTATCCCAAGTTCCACAGTTTATGCAAACCTAAACTAAGTATCTTCGAGCACAGCAGCTCCAGGAACCAGGCAGATCAAATGCCGTGATCTGAACTTTGCACATGAGAAAAATAAGTCTCAAGCACTACACTTGTAAACATAAATAAGGTTAGGTCACTCATGTGAACA